CTTGGTAGACACCCCACTTGGTAGACACCCCACTTGGTAGACACCCCACTTGGTAGACACCCCTCTTGGTAGGCACTCCACTTGGTAGACACCCCACTTGGTAGGCACCCCACTTGGTAGGCACCCCACTTGGTAGACACCCCACTTGGTAGACACCCCACTTGGTAGACACTCCACTTGGTAGGCACCCCACTTGGTAGACACCCCACTTGGTAGACACCCCACTTGGTAGACACCCCACTTGGTAGACACCCCACTTGGTAGACACTCCACTTGGTAGACACCCCACTTGGTAGGCACCCCACTTGGTAGACACCCCACTTGGTAGACACCCCATTTGGTAGACATCCCACTTGGTAGGCACCCCACTTGGTAGGCATGATAGAACCTGCAATCATGTTGTTTATTGTGGCTAACTCTATTTTGTGACATTTGACCTTTCAGCAGATAAATAGGAGAAATCAAGAGTTCTTTCTTAGTGGATTTTGTTCACATGGCGTGGCTGTTCAAATCAGATCTTTTGGGTTTGAAATTTGGTTGAACTTCAGTCATTTGGGTACAACAGTTTATGAGAGAAGCTGCAAATTTCTAAATTAATTTAACCTTAATTGCTAAATAAAATATTTCAATGTCACAAGTGTTTCTTTCTTCAAGAATGTTTTCTTTGTGTCCCCTTTTTCAGCCAGTTGCCACTGGCACCAATAAGGACACTGATGCTGCAAACAGTCTTGTCAGTCAGGCAGTACTCTCAGCTCCAAAACCTGCCCCAGAAGTTCTCAAAGGTCGACAGAGTGGAAGCATCAAGGACATATCAAGTCAGGTCAATGGTGATGGGCTGCCTCATCAGAACAACGAAGTCTACCCTGGTCACCGCAAGTTATATGGCAAAGATGTGGATAATGTCTCACAGCCAACACATGAGAGACTACAAGGTTTTAATGGTATGTGTCATGTTGGGTACAGATATAGGCCACTTCACACATTTGTCAGTGACAGACACCCTGACAACTTGCAATCTTCTTCATTGATCTTTGCTGGCTTACGCTGCCAGATTAGTATGTTTTATTATTTTACCTTTTAGGAATATGTGTTTATCTGTTTACAACACTTCTTAGTTTCTGTGTTCTGTCATAGTTTATGTGTGTTGAGTTGTATTCTTATGTTGGAAAGGGATTCTTTGAAAAATAGTATGATGAATTTGTATTTATATATGTGGTGCAGAATTTCCATTTTAGGTAATTTCAGGAATGCTGTAGTGTATTTTTTATTTTTTGTTTAATTTAGCAAAGAGTCTTCTCTAAACACAATACCACCAACACAGCATCATCATTTTACACAATACCACCAACACAGCATCATCATTTTACACAATACCACCAACAGAGCATCATCATTTTACACAATACCACCAACACAGCATCATCATTTTACACAATACCACCAACATAGCATCATCATTTTACACAATACCACCAACACAGCATCATCATTTTACACAATACCACCAACACAGCATCATCATTTTACACAATACCACCAACATAGTGTCATCATTTTACACAATACCACCAACATAGCATCATCATTTTACACAATACCACCAACACAGCATCATCATTTTACACAATACCACCAACAGAGCATCATCATTTTACACAATACCATCAACATGGCATCATGATTTTACACAATACCACCAACATAGCATCATCATTTTACACAATACCACCAACATAGCATCATCATTTTACACAATACCACCAACACAGCATCATCATTTTACACAATACCACCAACACAGCATCATCATTTTACACAATACCACCAACAGAGCATCATCATTTTACACAATACCACCAACATAGTGTCATCATTTTACACAATACCACCAACATAGCATCATCATTTTACACAATACCACCAACACAGCATCATCATTTTACACAATACCACCAACACAGCATCATCATTTTACACAATACCACCAACACAGCATCATCATTTTACACAATACCACCAACACAGCATCATCATTTTACACAATACCACCAACACAGCATCATCATTTTACACAATACCACCAACACAGCATCATCATTTTACACAATACCACCAACACAGTATCATCATTTTACACAATACCACCAACACAGCATCATCATTTTACACAATACCACCAACACAGCATCATCATTTTACACAATACCACCAATACAGCATCATCATTTTAAGTTTCTGCCTCAAGTTTCATTAATAAATATTTATTATAAATGAAATAATCTAAAAATGAAATGGCAGAAAATTAAAAGTTAGTGATGAACTCACTTTAACTCTGTGAACTTAGCATACAGCTGTCACATATGTTGAGCCATCTTTGCACACATGATGTTAGACTCTTTGCAGCTCTCTAAAATTCTAAAATGTATTTTCCAGCTCTCTATGGAAATCTTATTCTTCACTTGTATAATATGGTGTTTGCATAGGAAGGGTGGGGAAACCAGCAGTTCTTTGTGTAATAGAGCACAGTGTGCTGATCTGTTGAGGAAAATGGTTTGGACTTAGAATAGTTCTCTTTGTGACCTGTGAGAAGACAAATGTTTGATACCAGCCAAGTTCACAAATCTCAAGCTGAAAATATCAGACATACTGTGATGGATGCTGTGCCTATATATTAAAAGTAGAAAAGTAAAGGTCCCCTTTTCCACACCTTTTGGTGTATATGGCACATAGTAAGTAAGTAAAGATCCCTTTCCACGCCTTTAGGTGTATCGGGTATATGGGAAGAGCGCCCATATTTTTACAGACCATCAGCACTCGGTGGGTAATGTGGTCAGCATTACGCCATATGGCATATAGGGCTAGACCTATATTTTATAGACCAATCGGCACAAGACTTGTGATGTGGTCAGCATCACGCCGGCCATCTTTAGTTCCTAGGACTGCACCTGGTACCCACTCAATGCTGGGTCGACCTAGGAGTCAAGGTCATTTCTGAAAAAAAAGTCTGGCTCCACCAGGGAGCAAACCCACGACCTTCTGATCTGCACTCGAGCGTCTAGCCGCTACACCACGGCGACTCGGGTGCATATATATATATATATATATATATACTTGTAGATCAATTGCGGCAATCAGACATATCAGACTGACCAGTGTCTACATTAAATCCTTTGAAATTTTATCTTTTTTAATAGTATAATGTGAATGTGTGTCTTTATTTTGAGGTGTTAATATTTGAAATATCATCTTCCTAATGTTTTACATTTCCAGACATGTGTCTATGAAATCCTATCTTTTGAAAGCATGTTTTAATTTCCAGTCAAAATTGGATATTTGGTTACGTCAGATGCTTTGTGTCCATATGCCTAGGCCAAATTCTTGTATGTTCTGATTAATTATTATTCAGGAACAATTTCACTGGACTGTCATTTATAAACAAACATTATACTGTTATTTGAAAAAGAGAATTTGGTGTAGTATTGAGTAGAAATTTGTGTTGAGTAGATATTATCTAGTGCCATCTACATACTGAAGATTGTTTGTACTTAATCACCAATACTGGCTGTTTCATGCCTCCACAGTCATTCATACTGGCTTCAGATGTTGTCCTGCAACATATAACTTTCTTCCTCTTCAACTGTTCATGTCCTCTTCTTCATCAACAGCTGCCTTTAATCTGTGACTCATTATGTTTTCAGAGTATCTCATTTGCTTGACCTTGATCTCATTCAGTTTTCTCCAAATTCAGGTTTTTCCATTTCTTTGTTTTATTCTGCTGACATGATATTCTTTCGGCATGACTATTTAGAAAGCTTAGGTATGATCTCTGCAGTCAGTAATGAAGAGTAAATGTAACTTTGATAGCTCTTAAACATGTCTCTAATTTGAAACTAATTTGTTGAGATGAGAGAAGCTGGTTCATGTGTTGTATATTTGGCCATTCTCCTTTTTCTGTTGCTCTAGGTGTGCTAGTTATTGCACATGGAAGAATATGGTAAAGTTTTATGTTCTCAGAGATCTCTGTTGTCCACTAGATGGGACTAGTTTGACCTGGTTGTGTGCTGATTGAAAACAAACTAGCCCTGCCACTACTGTGGGTTGACCATTGTGTTGGCTGGCAGTTGACCATTGTGTTGGCTGGCAGTTGACCATTGTGTTGGCTGGTAGTTGACCATTGTGTTGGCTGGTAGTTGACCATTGTGTTGGCTGGTAGTTGACCATTGTGTTGGCTGGCAGTTGACCATTGTGTTGGCTGGCAGTTGACCATTGTGTTGGCTGGTAGTTGACCATTGTGTTGGCTGGCAGTTGACCATTGTGTTGACTGGCAGTTGACCATTGTGTTGACTGGCAGTTGACCATTGTGTTGGCTGGCAGCTGATCTCTGTTTTGGCTGGCAGTGGGCACTACCATACCATGCTTGTTATCACAACTGTGCTTACTGGGAACAGCATTAGATGAAGAATAAATGAAAAATCAGCCATACACTGGACCAATGGCATTCAGGAAGGGATTAGACATAGCATCACTGAAACTTAAATGCTGGTGAGGGAGAGAAAGATAGAAACAAATCATACAGAAATCAGATTATTTGTTACAGCATCCTAGGTTTATGGGGTAGACATAGCATAGGTTTATCTGTATGTATGTGTGAAAGGTCATTTAAAAAAGAGAAAGAGAGAGAGAGAGAAAGAGATAGTGTGCCTGTGTGAGTTCTTATGTAAGAGGGAGAGAAAGATAGAAACAAATCATACAGAAATCAGATTATTCATTACAGCATCCTAGGTTTATGGGGTAGACATGGCATAGGTTTATCTGTATGTGTGTGTGAAAGGTCATTTAAAAAAAAAAGAGAGAGAGAGAGAGAGAGAGAGAGAGAGAGAGAGAGAGAGAGAGAGAGAAAGAGATAGTGTGCTTGTGTGAGTTCTTAAATAATTATATATAGTTTCTATTTTGTATAATATTGTGTGTTTTTTTCAAAATTTCCAGATACAGCATCTGAGTCACCTAGAATACCCACTAAAACACAGGTGGATATTCGTGACAGAGAAAATAAAGTGAAAAAACGTGGTAGCCGTCCATATTCCAGCATGCACATACCACAGTTCTACTTTCCCTCTGGGAAACCAGCGACAGGCCTGGAAGTAGAGACCATCCTGCAGAAGGTTGCCCAGGTGTTTGCTGGGCTGGAAGGTGGGAAGGCCTACAAGCAACAGATGGGAGCCATCACTAAGGTGAGTTCATAGTAGCATTGACCCTCACCTTTGGAAGGTGAGATCTGATGTTTTGCTTACTGGAATTAACTTAATAAACTGAAAGATTCTGCCAGCACATTTAATTATTCCTGCCTCACTAAGAGTTGAGTTAAGTTGAGACAAGAATTGACATCACAGCATTGGAGCGTTCCCATGCTCGCTCCATCCCCATCTTAAGCAGCCATCGCAGAGTTACAATACTAATGGTACCGTCGTGGTCTGGTTATATGTCTGTCTTTCCTTTCCTCTGAGTGCAGTGAGTTGATTACACCAAGGTGCATCATTTACTCCAGGCCACAATAATCCAGTTTTTCTACTGACTTCGTTACTTATTTCCAAAGGACCTTGACCACTGTGACGGTACCATCAGTATCGGAACTCTGCGCTTGCAGCTGAAGATGAGGATGGAGCATGCATGGAATGCCCCGAGTGCTGTGATGTCAGTTCTTGCCTCAACTCAGTGCTTCAACTCTGGAATAATTTGCTGTAATTTTATTAGAAGACTGCTTGGCTGCAGATAGTTTTGAGGTCACCTCAACTTTTTTGTCTAAGTATAGAAAGAAAGTGGTAAAATGTACACAGAACATGTTCTGCTGTATGGCAGCGAATCTTGGAATGTCAGTGAACAAACTAAGAAGAATTTGGAAGCAGCAGAGATGTGGTTTCTGAGACGAATGTTACGAATACCTTTGACGGTCAAAGTAACTAACAACGATTGCTTGAAAGAAGCTAATGAAAGTAGATCTTTATAATCAACAATAAGGGAGAGACAAACACTGTTTTTTGGTCACATAGTGAGAAGAGAGACATTGGAGAACATTGTGACATCTGGAAAGATCAGTGGAAAGAGGGCTAGAAGCAGATTAAAAGACATGATGCTGGGTAAGTTGAAACAATGGCATGAAGGGATATTATCAGGAGAGCTGTTCCAGGCAACCAGGGATCGGGATCTGTGGAGATGCTTGAGCGGCTACCCCAGTTCGCAGGGCACATGATGATTATAGAAAATCCCCTGAAACTTTTATTCTTTTTAAATTTTTTGATGGCATTTGCATCCTCTAAGTTCTAAAACTATTTCATCATTTACTAAACCAACTTCTCTCAGATTAAAACATTTCATGAAAATCAGCTAATTTCTTCTTCTACTTCTTAGTTCTCACCATCGATAAACTCCCAGCGGTAGGTTTTGGTTGTGTGCTCACTTTTGGATTTTGTTCTTATTCCAAAACTTGAGTTTTGTGTGCACATCCATTTTACAGATTTGACTTATTTGTATACTGACTGTTAGTTCTTCACCTCTTAGCGGAAACACTTCACTTTTGAAACAAATTTCCCCATTTAGTTGCCGTTTACGACATGGTTGTTAGGTGGCAGTCGGTGAATTCCTAAAATGGGTCCTCAGTATCCATTTGGGGAATTATTTCATTTAAATATCAAAGTTGATTAAAAGTTGTTTCTTTTTGTGGAGAAGGTTTGGGCCTTGTACTAAAACAATATGATGTTCATGAGAGACTCAGATGTCAAGGATAGCCATCTTCTGAAGTGTGTGTTGCTTGTAACACACAGGGATGAAAATGTGCAGTGCTGATCACTGTGAGGATACTGTCTGACAAAAGACAGACCATAGTGGAGGCAGTTGGCAACTCCTCACACGTCCATATGCCTGTCTTTACACCTTAGTGGAGGCAGTTGGCAACTCCTCACAGGTCCATATGTCTGTCTTCACACCTTAGTGGAGGCAGTTGGCAACTCCTCACAGGTTTATATGTCTGTCTTTACACCTTAGTGGAGGCAGTTGGCAACTTCTCACTCGTCCATATGTCTGTCTTTACACCTTAGTGGAAGCAGTTGACAACTCCTCACACGTCCATATGTCTGTCTTTACACCTTAGTGGAGACAGTTGGCAACTCCTCACACGTCCATATGTCTGTCTTTACACCTTAGTGGAGGCAGTTGGCAACTCCTCACAGGTTTATATGTCTGTCTTTACACCTTAGTGGAGGCAGTTGGCAACTCCTCACACGTCCATATGTCTGTCTTTACACCTTAGTGGAGACAGTTGGCAACTCCTCACACGTCCATATGCCTGTCTTTACACCTTAGTGGAGACAGTTGGCAACTCCTCATACGTCCATATGTCTGTTGTTACACCTTAGTGGAGACAGTTGGCAACTCCTCACATGTCCATATGTCTGTCTTTACACCCTAGTAGAGACAGTTGGCAACTCCTCACACTTCCATATGTCTGTCTTTACACCTTAGTGGAGACAGTTGGCAACTCCTCACACGTCCATATGTCTGTCTTTACACCTTCAGCTCGGTATCATCTTAGCTGAATTTTATTTCATGTTTGCTTTCTCAATAGAGGTTTATCGGGGAAAATACAGACACTGTAATACTGACTGTGCTGCACAACAGTTTGTTGAGTATGTGTGTGTGCATGCGTGCCTCTAGGTGTGTGTGTATGTGTATGCCCGCTCTCATGCACGCGTGCATACACACACACACACACCAACTTCACATTCTCAACATGCATCACTGACATACAAGTAGATAATAACAGCTAGATCTGTTTGACTCATCATGTGATATAAATGCTTGTAATTGTTTTAATACACAGCTGTTGGCATGTGCAGATATTTTACCATTTACTTTGTACTTGCTCTTCCTCAGGCATCTGGTCTGCCCTTATTTTGGAAAATCCTGTTGTTCCGATCAGCAGGGGGAACCAGTGATGGCTTTATCTCCTATCAGAGTTTGTCCATACTTCTGAAAAAGTAAGAATTTTTCAATCATTGGGGGGGGGGGGGGGGGGGGGGGGTTGTGGGTAAGGAGAGGAGTATAAAACATATCTATAACAGTAGCGTTAGAGCTTTGCATGCATATGGTAATGAAGAATAATGATAAAAGATAACCAGAGGTCGATACTCGAGTCGCGCGACTTGCCATTGAGTCCAACTTGAGTCGTGTAATTAATTACTTGCAACTCCAGCGACTCACGACTAGACTTGCAACTGGTAACTTCGGCGAGGTGGTTACTGTTGGTGATCAAATAAAATAATAATAAAATAATGTAACAACTTTTCAGTTTTCTGCAAATTAATTAAAATATCAATATCTTCAATATACAAGTGTGTGCATTTAGTTCAGCTATTTACATACATAATCTAACTTTAAAATTGCTAGCTGTTGTTTTGTTATTATAATAGACTCCTCATCATCATGCAGCAGGTCTTTTGCAGAACATCGCTCTCATCACAGTCTGCCTGAAAGAAACTCGGTCTCTCGCCAGCTCTCCCACCTCATGCACTTTCATACTGAAGGAGTCACTTAAATCCTGTGCCCATCTTCGTGTCGGTCGGCCCCTGCCCCTCCTTCCTGGTACCATGCCTTCTGCTATAATTTTTTCCAGTCCGTTGTGGCGCTTGATATGACCAAAATATTTTAGCTTCTGAGACAGGATGCTGTTTATTAGCCAATCTTCCTTGATGTTCAGATCTTTTAAGATCTCAGTATTTCTCCTCTTCCTTGTCCGAGATATTCTAAGAATCTTTCTATAGAATTTCAGCTCAAAAGTCCCTATTCTTTTTCTTACGGACTGGGAGATAGTCAACGACTCACATCCGTATGTTGCTACGGGGAAGATGCATGCTCCCAGAATTCTAGAGAAATTTGACTAAAAAGCTCAACAAAATGGGAAAGAGGAAAACGTGCACAAAACAACACAACGTATCGTTTCGGCCAGGCAGCCTTTTGTCAGATTGACTTCAGTACAATAAATATGACATTTGGAAATTTGAAGAGTCGGTTAGGAATTACTGGAATCGAATAGAAAGTAAAGAAATTATATTCGTAAGCATGCCTGCGCATCATAGCAAGAGAATTTGTAGAACAATGTTTACATAAATGTATAATATGTGATATTGGTGGATGGATGTTGGGTGAATGAATATGTGGAGACATGTGCTCACATGCATTTATTTATACACACATGGGCATTTTATATAAATAATGACAGAAAATGCTATAAAACAAAATGCTGTGCTGAAAACTAAGCTTGAAAATCAACACCCTAAAATCCATGTTTTACAAGTTTCTGCAACTTATGGCATAGGTAAGTTAACAGTTTCTTGAATGAGACTGCAAGAAGAAAAACATAAGGGAGAAGAGGAAGGTGACAAATATAATGTAGTTTTGTCTGTCCTAGCTGCCTCCATGGGAAGGAAAATAATGATTTTAACTGCTTTTTTTCAGGTTGTACCAGTCATGTCATGATGAGGCCTCTAAGTTCATGAGACTGGTTGCCAAACCTGGAGCATCTGTCCTTGACTTTGAAGACTTTGAACCTCTAGTTCAGGTAAGCTGCATTTATTGCTTGATGACACTTCACAGTCCTGTCTGGACACTTGTAAGTAGTCACTGTATTGATATATATCACGTCTAGTTTGAGAATGGAGGTGGAGGCAGCCTCTGCTGCCTTCTGCTGGCTTGAGAATCAGCCGTACACACATGCTGTGATTGTAACTGACTTATAGAGCATGTTGAGAAAGGTGAAAACAGACATGCTTCGTGCAGAGTAACAAGCATCACTTCAGAGGTAACAGGTAGTTAGCATCCTTAAGATATTTTCTCCAGGTCATGCTGTGTGTTGGGAAATGATCAGGCAGATAGACTCACTGGCTCTGCACCACTTGGTGGTAAATTGATGTATGACAAGTCAGATATTGTAAGGGTCCTTTGGGGATGGGTGAAAGTGCACAGATAGATTATTACGGTCTAAGGAAAATGGTGCTGTGAGGAGTTACCAGGGGATCTGGTCAAAGCTAAACACTCAGGGGAAGGATAAGACGGATACACAATCAGACGGTTACTGGTATCATTGGAATTGGAACTCTTCGCTTGCTGCTGAAGATGGAGACTGAGCACTTGTGGAAGTGTTTGAGTGCTATGATGTCGATTCTTAATTCAACATTCACTGTATTGATGATTGGCTGATATATGAAGTACTTAAGTACCCTCAAACCAGCATATGGAAGACATATTAAATATAGAATAGCTCATGCAAAAGTGCATTTTACAAAGTTAAGAATACTCTATCTTTGGCAGCTGCTGTGAGAAAGAGTTTTTAAAAACTATATAGTCAGTCATACAGGAGTTAATCATGGACAATCGGCCAGCTAATGACAAATTATATGGAAGTAAAGGGATGGGCTTTTATAGACGAATGATGAGAACACTCCATGGACAGATAAAAAGTGAAACATAAAATGTTTTGAAAGAAATGAATTCACAAAGAGAACTGATTACTTGCATAAAGGAGAAACTTTACAAGTTGGAGGGAAGAGAAAATACCGTTTGATATCGTTTCAAGGAGGTCATCCATGTCAGAAATGATTGAATGTGTGTGAGACAGCAGACTGGGCAGACATGATAACCACCAGCACATGACGAGAACTGTAAGAAGCATGACTTTCACAGGACTAATTGTTCATTGGTTTTGGTTTTATTGAAATACAAAGGTTAAGAGTAATTTGCATGTCATGAGGTCTACTGTGTTAGCCCCACATTTTGTATAGAGCAGTCAGCAGTGATGGGTGTTGTTGTCATGAGTGTCATATCAACTACCTTTACTTTCTAAATAATTTCCGGTTGCCCTTTTTAGACCAGGCTAACTTGGAAGCCCAGGTCAATTTTGAATAAATGCCTGCTTAGGAAGGGATTCAATCAGATTGTTGCTGGATGTAAGCATCTAATAGTTCTCTTATTGTTGTTATTGTGATGATATTAATGACTATTTATTGTAAGTCATCTTAGTTTACTAAACAGTTCATGTTGTAACTGTTATTAATCATTCTCTTCTTACGTGTTTGTTTCCAGCTGAGTGTATTGCTTTGTGTATTTATGTCTGCATAAACTAACATCGCTGCAGTCTACTTGGGTTATGCTTACCATCATACATTGTTCTATGATCCTCAGGATGTTGTTGAATCTCATCCTGGGCTGACATTCTTGCAGGACGCTCCAGAGTTTCACTCTCGTTATGTTACCACAGTTAGTATACATTTTATATTTTCCCAAGGAGACATGTCTTTATTTCAAAAACACAAACTTTTGTTATATAAACATCTTATGTTGTAATCGGTCAATAACCGGCTCATGCATAAGAGCACAGGAAGAGATTCCGTGTGAAAATGACTGCTGGTATGTTCGCTCACAATGAGGTGTGACATGAAGGAAGAGCAGAAGGGCTTGCCAAGGGTAGTCAAGTGTCTTTTCCCAGTCTGGAGATATGTTGATGGTACTGACTCCACATAAGTATAGACCAGTCTGATGGTACTGACTTCACATAAGTATAGACCAGTCTAATGGTACCAACTCTACATAAGTATAGACCAGTCTGATGGTACAAACTCCACATTAGTATAGACCAGTCTGATGGTACTGACTCCACATAAGTATAGACCAGTCTGATGGTACTGATTCCATAGACCAGTCTGATGGTACTGACTCCACATAAGTATAGACCAGTCTGATGGTACCGACTTCACATAAGTATAGACCAGTCTGATGGTACTGACTCCATAGACCAATCTGATGGTACTGACTCCACAGAAGTATAGACCAGTCTGATAATACTGACTACACATTAGTATAGACCAGTCTGATGGTACTGACTCCACATAAGTATAGACCAGTCTGATGGTACCAACTCCACATAAGTATAGACCAGTCTGATGGTACTGATTCCACATAAGTATAGACCAGTCTGATGGTACTGACTCCACATAAGTATAGACCAGTTTGTTGGTACTGATTCCACATAAGTATAGACCAGTCTGATGGTACTGACTCCACATAAGTATAGACCAGTCTGTTGGTACTGACTCCATAGACCAGTCTGATGGTACTGACTCCATAGACCAGTCTGATGGTACTGACTCCACATAAGTATAGACCAGTCTGATAATACTGACTTCACATTAGTATAGACCAGTCTGATGGTACTGACTCCACATAAGTATAGACCAGTCTGATAATACTGACTTCACATAAGTATAGACCAGTCTAATGGTACTGACTCCACATAAGTATAGACCAGTCTAATGGTACTGATTCCACATAAGTATAGACCAGTTTGATGGTACTGACTCCACATAAGTATAGACCAGTCTGATGGTACTGACTCCACATAAGTATAGACCAGTCTGATGGTACTGACTCCACATAAGTATAGACCAGTCTGATGGTACTGACTCCACACAAGTATAGACCAGTCTGATGGTACTGACTCCACATAAGTATAGACCAGTCTGTTGGTACTGACTCCATAGACCAGTCTGATGGTACTGATTCCACATAAGTATAGACCAGTCTGATGGTACTGACTCCACATAAGTATAGACCAGTTTGATGGTACTGACTCCACATAAGTATAGACCAGTCTGATGGTACTGACTCCACATAAGTATAGACCAGTCTGATAGTACTGATTCCACATAAGTATAGACCAGTCTGATGGTACTGACTCCACATAAGTATAGACCAGTCTGATGGTACCAACTCCACATTATTATAGACCAGTCTGATGGTACTGATTCCATAGACCAGTCTGATGGTACTGACTCCATAGACCAGTCTGATGGTACTGACTCCACATAAGTATAGACCAGTCTGATGGTACCGACTTCACATAAGTATAGACCAGTCTGATGGTACTGACTCCATAGACCAATCTGATGGTACTGACTCCACAGAAGTATAGACCAGTCTGATAATACTGACTACACATTAGTATAGACCAGTCTGATGGTACTGACTCCACATAAGTATAGACCAGTCTGATGGTACCAACTCCACATAAGTATAGACCAGTCTGATGGTACCAACTCCACATAAGTATAGACCAGTCTGATGGTACCGACTCCACATAAGTATAGACCAGTCTGATGGTACTGACTCCACATAAGTATAGACCAGTCTGATGGTACTGACTCCACATAAGTATAGACCAGTCTGATGGTACCGACTCCACATAAGTATAGACCAGTCTGATGGTACTGACTCCACATAAGTATAGACCAGTCTGATGGTACTGACTCCACATAAGTATAGACCAGTCTGATGGTACCAACTCCACATAAGTATAGACCAGTCTGATGGTACCGACTCCACATAAGTATAGACCAGTCTGATGGTACTGACTCCATAGACCAGTCTGATGGTACTGACTCCACAGAAGTATAGACCAGTCTGATAATACTGACTACACATTAGTATAGACCAGTCTGATGGTACTGACTCCACATAAGTATAGACCAGTCTGATGGCACCAACTCCACATTAGTATAGACTAGTCTGATGGCACCAACTCCACATAAGTATAGACCAGTTTGTTGGTACTGATTCCACATAAGTATAGACCAGTCTGATGGTACTGACTCCACATAAGTATAGACCAGTCTGTTGGTACTGACTCCATAGACCAGTCTGATGGTACTGACTCCACATAAGTATAGACCAGTCTGATAATACTGACTTCACATTAGTATAGACCAGTCTGATGGTACTGACTCCACATAAGTATAGACCAGTCTGATGGTACTGATTCCACATAAGTATAGACCAGTTTGATGGTACTGACTCCACATAAGTATAGACCAGTCTGATAGTACCAACTCCACATTAGTATACACCAGTCTGATGGTACTGACTCCATAGACCAGTCTGATGGTACTGACTTCATAGACCAGTCTGATGGTACTGACTCCACATAAGTATAGACCAGTCTGATGGTACTGACTTCACATAAGTATAGACCAGTCAAAATGGACGCTAGATGCGGCCACTGTTTGGAGCCGCTGTAAATTTCTTTCTTCTGCCAGACGGTGGCCATTGTATTTTTGCTCCATTTGTAAATTGAAAGGATATAGTTTCGTCGCCCAGCTTCTGAGTTGCGTGAAACTGTGACCTGCGGATTTCATTTGGAATGTTTTTCACTGTGCTGTAGAAACATTAACTTTGTTACAGGGATATTCACTGTTCTACAGGGACATTCACTGTTCTACAGGGACATTCACTGTTCTACAGGGACATTCACTGTTCCACAGGGACATTCAGTGTGCCACAGGGACATTCACTGTTCTGCAGAGGCATTCATTGTACCGCAGAGATATTCATTGTACTACAATGACATTCAGTGCACTACAGGGACATTCACTATGCTGTAGAAACAGCCACTGTTCTACAGGGGCATTCACTGTACCATAGGAATATTTACTGTGTTACATTGATATTCACTGTGCTACAAGGACATTTACTGGGCTGTAGGAACATTCACTGTGCTGCAAGGACATTCACCGTGCTGTAGGAACATCCACTATGCTACAAGGACATTTACTGTGCTGTAGGAATATTCACTGTGCTACAAGGGGATTTAATGTGCTGTAGGAAGTTTCTCTGTGCTACAAGGACATTTACTGTGCTGTAGGAAGTTTCTCTGTGCTACAAGGACATTTACTGTGCTACAAGGGCATTTAATGTGCTGTAGGAAGTTTCACTGTGCCACAAGGGCATTTAATGTGCTGTAGGAAGTTTCTCTGTGCTACAAGGACATTTACTGTGCTGTAGGAAGTTTCTCTGTGCTACAAGGACATTTACTGTGCTACAAGGGCATTTGATGTGCTGTATGAAGTTTCACTGTGCCACAAGGGCATTTAATGTGCTCTAGGAAGTTTCACTATGATACAAGGGCATTTAATATGCTGTACGAACATTCTGCATCTGTTGCTTTGATGTTGCAAATGCGCTTCTTAATGCCAGGGTGTTGGGTTAAATCCTAGCTGCGAACAATTTGTCTTGCATTGGTTTTGACAGTGGCACTGAGAGCTGACAGTTCAGAAAGCATTAGAAAACTACTAAACCTAAAATTTGCCTACAAAAATCACAACATCCAAACAATGCTAGGGTTGGTTCTGCAACGTCCTGTAAAGGATACACAACTAACTTTAGGAACATTCACTGTGCTTCAAGGACATTTACTGTAGGAACATTCAGTGTGCTAAAGGAACATTCACTATGTTATAGGGACAGTGTGCTACAGAAGCATTCACTATTTTACTAGGACATTTACTGTGTGCTGTAGGAACATTCACTGTTCTACTAGAAAATTTACTGTGCTGTAGAAACATTCAATGTGCTGTGGAAACATTCACTGTGCTGTAGAAACATTTACTATGTTACAGGAAAAGTGTGCTACAGAAACATTCACTGTGTCACAAGGACATTTACTGTGCCATAGGAACATTCGCTGTGCTTGAGGACATTTACTGTGCTGAAGGAATATTCACTTTGCTACAGGAACATTCACTATGTTACAGGGACAGTGTGGCTACAAAAAACATTCGCTGTGCTACTTGGACATTTACTGTGCTGTAGAAACATTCAGTATGCTACCGGGGCATTTACTGTGCTGTAGGAATATTCACTGTGCTACAAGGACATTTACTGTGCTGTAGGAACATTCTGTATGTTACAGGGACAGTGTGCTACATACCATTCACTGTGCTACAGGAACATCCTCTGTGTTATAGAAACAGTGTGCTACATACCATTCACTGTGCTACAGGAACATCCTCTATGTTATAGGAACAGTGTGCTACGTACCATTCACTGTGCTACAGGAACATCCTCTGTGTTATAGGAACAGTGTGCTACATACCATTCACTGTGCTACAGGAACATCCTCTATGTTATAGGAACAGTGTGCTACATACCATTCACTGTGCTACAGGAACATCCTCTGTGTTATAGAAACAGTGTGCTACATGACATTCAGTTTGCTACAGAAGAATTTACTGTATTACAGTAACAAGCACTGGGCTACAATAATAAAGTTATACCTACAGTAAAAGCACAGTCCTGCATAAAGAAAGTCACGCTGTTTTGAAGCTTCCTGCTCCACTCATACACTTGGTGGAGTGACAGGCATGCATCACCATACTGCACCTTCATTCGCTGATTAATTTCTATCAGTTTAACTCTTTCACTGATCACAAAATGGATTATAGAAGGCTGCTTCTTGTTGGCACATGTGAAAATGAGGTGGCCATCTCTAAACTGTCATTGTGACCTCACCATGTTCATCTGCACCATGATGTCACGTTCTTAACACTCTTGACATCTTTAACAACAATATTAACAGGTTACAAACACTAGCATGGTTATTATAATTTCTTTCAAATTTTTAAGGTTTTAATTTGAAGCCAACTGTATTACTGCATTTGTTAGCAAACCTTGCAGCTCTTTCGGCTTTGATATAAAAACTGCCATTTTCTATTTTCTAATCTCCAGGTCATATCTCGAGTCATGTTTTGTGTCAACCGGTCATGGACCGGCAAGATTACTGTGCCAGAACTTCGCAAGTCCAATTTTTTGCAGGTAGGATCAAAACTAGAGAATAACTGGGTGACCGTCGTCATCAAAGCTGAGATTTCAAACTTGCTGTTGGAGATTGCTAAATGTGGAAAGGCCTGATTTGCCATGCCAGACAGCACGACACTTGATGATGATGAAGAATTCAGGATTCTGGCTGCATGGAACTCAGAATCTGACTGACTACAATTTCATATAAAGATACAATAGTGAAATGTACATTCTAAGACATGACAAAGCACCAGAAAAGTACAAGAGGGAAAATAGTAGGAAAAGGAGTGAACGAACAAACTTTATTTTCAAAGGGTTACAAATTGGGCATGCAGACCCATCTTACCTTTGGCCCTTCCTAGCATTCATCTTTCATTCGGCAGTTGCATTTTACATATCAAGTATATTATGTTTATATAACAACATTCATTGTATAAATGTAAATTTAAAAAACAAAGGCATGGATGGCAAATGCACACCTTCAAATATATGTGCAAAGATACTCATACATCACAGACACTCACAAGCACACGAACACAACACTGTTACACTCATGGAAGTGCACACATTGATGAGACACTCACAATTTTTAAAGCATATTATTTCATCTATCAACGTTCATTGTATAAATGTAAATTAAAAATACAAAGGCATGGATGACAAATTCATACCTTTAAATATATGTGCAAAGATACTCACACATTACAGACACTCACAACACTCTTACACACACAGAAGCGCACACATTGTTGAGACACTCACGGCATCAACAGACATACACACAATCACAGACAAAACACATACACGTAGACACAGCACACACACATGCATGCACAAACAATCCCAACACCACATACTCAGAGAAAAAAGTCATGTCATGTACACACAGACATGACATACACACAGGCAACACACACAGATACAATAGACATGGACATATGTACTCTCACCAGCACAACACATACACATAAACACAACCACTAGCCACCAACAAACAATACATACAAACTCAACACCAAAACACCATTCACAAACACAACCCAGATAGAACAAGAAATATGAAGACCAGATAAATGCTCATAAAGAGCAGATCAGTGGATTAAAAAATGGAAGTGAATTTAAAGAGAGTGAATAAAGACAGAATTGTAGGACACAGTTATCAGAAACCTTCAAAACCTGTTTTAGAGTTGAAATAACAACTAATTTATAGCCACATAATATTTGTATTTATTATTCGCTAGATATATATAAGTAATAGGGTGCAAACTTCAACTGCTCCAACATGCTGAGAGAAGAAATACGATCTAGAATACAATCTGGAAATAAAGTATACTTTACCCTTCAACATCTGCTAAAGTCAAAGTGTCTGCCTCGCAACACCAAAATCAAAATATATAAATCATTGATAAGATCAGTCATGTTATATGGCTCTTAAACTTAGAGCACTACTAAAAGAGATGAAGCATTATTACAGGTTTTTGAAAACACAATCTTACGACGAATCTTTGGACCCATCAAAGATGCAAACAGCGGTGAATGGAGGGTGAAAAGCAACAATGAAATTCATTATCTGTTTAAATCATCACTGATCACTGGCATCATGAGAGCTAATAGACAAAAATGGTTGGGACATATTGAAAGAATGTCAGATGATAGAGAAGTAAACTGTATACACCAGGGAGATGAATGGTCGTAGACCACGAGGGAGACTAAGAAGACGATGGAGAGATAATATCCAGACAGACCTGCAAACACTTGGTGTTACCAACTGGAAAGAGAAGGCTAACCAGAGAGATGAATTGAGGCCAGTGATAAATGCAGCAGTGAACCTCAAGGGATCGGAATGCTGAAGAAGAAGAAGAATTATTCTCTAGATACACCTAATCCGACAAACAATAATGTATCAAATGTGGCAATTTAGGGTTTAAATAATTTAATATTTATGTCTGCCTGTCTGTTGACTTGTCTCCTTCTTTCTGCATTTCCCCTTCCCTCCCCTTCCCTCTTCTTTGAAAATAAAGTTTGTTTATTCGCTCATTCATTCATTCAACTGTCTTTATCTCTCTCTCTCTGGCTTCTTGTTCTGTCTTATACCCTTATGTCAGTAACTCCAAATAGCTCTTACTGAAACCCATTTAATTTTATGTTTGCACATACAAACAGCAGTGAACTTCTGCACTTTCAGACACTGGCCAGACTGGAAGAGGAAGATGACATCAACCAGATCAAAGATTATTTTTCTTACGAACATTTTTATGTCATCTACTGCAAGTTCTGGGAACTGGACAAAGACCATGACTTATTTATTGACAAAAATGATTTATCTCGGCACAATGACCATGGTAAGACATACATCCAACCCCTATTTGTTTTGTAACTGTGAAATTGCAGATTCTATAGTCATTCCTTGCTGTGTGTGAACCGTTCCTAGTCCTTCTGTGTCTGCTTTGGAGTGTTTATATAGGCTTGTTTATTGTGGACTTATTTGTTATATTTATTTGTTATATACATTAAATTAAAAAACATTTCATTAGAATGATGAATTAAGAATCAATATCACAGCACTCGGAATACTTCCATAAGCGCCCGCTCCCCATTTTCAGTAACTGCCTGATTTTACATCCGTCTCGCCTTTCCCTTGAGTGTTGAGCGTCGGTCAGATCCCCTGGTAACTCCCTGCAGCACCATTCTCCTCAGACTTTCAGGATCTGTATGTGCCTCCTCACTGTTCTCCGACTTCTATCTAAAGGGCCCTGACAACATCTAGCTTGTCATACATCAGTTCACCACCAAGTGGTCCAGAACTGGCCAGTCTATCTACCTGCTCATTTCCCAACACACCAGCATGATCTAGAGAAAATATCCAAATGAGGCTAACTACCTGGGACCTCTAAAGCGATGCTTGCCACTCTGCACTGAGTGTACCTGTCTCCACTTTTCTCAACATACTCTGTGAGTTAGTGTCAATCACGGCATGTGTGTACAGCTGATTCTCGGTCCAGCAGAAGGCAGCAGTAACTGCCTCCACCTCCATTCTCAAACTAGACATGGTATCATGTACCAGGCTTTGTTGCACTAAGCGACGTTGATTCGCTTTTGCTATGAACCCTATGCACTTCATCTGCCTCTCAACACAGAGACATCTTTATAGATAATAACATCACCTGGGTGGGAATTATCATGAATTATTTGTTAAATTTCTGATTCTACAGCACAAGCTGCAAGAACATTCACAACCTTGCTCAATTTGATCCACTCGTCTCCTCACCCAAATTTATCAAGCCTGCATACATGTCTAATTGTGTCTTCAGCTTGTGCCATCCATGACCTTCCTTTATTCAGTCTGTAACCCTTAGCTCTACCTAGGGCTTCATGCAGGAGGTGCTTCTTGTCTGCATCTACTCTGAGATATGACTTTGCCTGCAGAACTTTGAGCCCATCTGCAATAGAAGCAAGTGAAAATATATATTGCATACATACTACCGGGGTACCTCTTGAACATTCCAGAATTACCCACATGGTTTCATTCTGTATGCATTCAACATTTCAGTAGCAGACACAACAAAGGTAACAACAACAGTGGCTAGTCCCCTGATAGAATAAATGAGGGAAACACAACAGGGAGGTATGCTGACTATGGAGACACTCTCACAACAATCAGACAAGCACACAGAAGTGAAACACTCACACAGTAGTGAGGCATTTACAAAATTGTGGGGCGCTCACACAGTTGTGGGGCACTCACACAACTGTGGAGCACTCACACAACAGTGGGGCACTCACACAACTGTGGGGCACTTACACAACAGTGCAGCAGTCACACAACAGTGCAGCAGTCATACAACAGTGGGGCATTCACCCAATTGTGGGGTACTCACACAACTGTGAGGCACTCACACAACTGTGGGGTGCTCACACAACTGTGGAGCACTCACACAACTGTAGGGTGCTGACACAACTGTAGGGCACTCACACAACTGTGAGGCACTCACACAACAGTGGGGCATTCACACAATTGTGGGGCACTCACACAACTGTGGGGTGCTCACACAACTGTGGGGCATTCATACAACTGTGGGGCACTCACACAACTGTGGGGCGCTTACACAACTGTGGGGCATTCATACAACTGTGGGGCATTTACACAACTGTGGGGCATTCACACAACTGTGGTGCACTCACACAACTGTGGGGCATTCTTACAACAGTGGGGCACTCACACAACTGTGGGGCATTCATACAACAGTGGGGCACTCACACAACTGTGGGTTGCTCACACAACTGTGGGGCATTCATACAACAGTGGGGCACTTGCACACCAGTGGAGCAGTGACACAACAGTGAAGCAAGCAGAACCCAAATACCAGTAGTACAGAGTTTTATCATTACCTGCACATCGCAACAATGGGAGGACATGAATTGCACCATGCTTTCTCACAAGTCCAACCATGTAACATGGGAGACCAGCACTGAAACATTCATGAGTCCCCCTCATTGACTGTGTTTAGCACCATTCATTGACTGTGTGTAGCCCCCACTCATTGACTGTGTGTAGTTCCCACTCATTGATTGTGTGTAGTCCCCACTCATTGACTGTGTGTAGTTCCGACTCATTGACTGTGTGTAGTCCCCACTCATTGACTGTGTGTAGTCCCCATTCATTGACTGTGTGTAGCCCCCACTCATTGACTGTGTGTAGTTCCCACTCATTGATTGTGTGTAGTTCCCACTCATTGACTGTGTGTAGTCCCCACTCATTGACTGTGTGTAGTCCCCACTCATTGACTGTGTGTAGTCCCCACTCATTGACTGTGTGTAGTCCCCACTCATTGACTGTGTGTAGTTCCCACTCATTGACTGTGTGTAGTCCCCACTCATTGACTGTGTGTAGTCTCCACTCATTGACTGTGTGTAGCCCTTTCTCTAGAGGTTGTATTTAAAGTGTAGCTGCCTGTAGAGTGAATAATTGTGCTTCTGCTGTTTAGTTATATTTTATATCTCTCATGTGTAACTGCACCTTTTTGTAATCCTAGTCAAGATATGTTTGATTGACTCTTCTTCTGCAATACCAACCCTTTCATAATATATTTGTTAACTTTTTTTCAATCAGTTTGATGCCATCTCCACAGTAACAGTTGACATTACTGGATCTCCTGCATTCTCTATTTCTCGCCCTGGTTGTGCATTCTGAGACTTCTGTTTATCTATTGCTTGATATTATCCTCTGTTTCCACTGTTTACTTGTTACTTGCCTGCCTTCATCATCTTGTCCCTGGAGTATGGTTTTGCTAACATGTCTTGACATCTTTTCATCTGGCTGAAAAATTCCACTTTGTTTATTTCATTTAACAACTGTTATTATTTATTTATTTTTTTAGCTGTGCTCAAACTATGAAAGGCTTTTAATTAATGTTGAAGGCTTTTTTCTTGTGTGCATATGATATTTTAGTCATCTGCAAACAAGTATAAATAACACTGAATTGTTAATAAATTTATATCTGTTTTATATATATATATAAGCATCAGTGGGAGTAGTGATGATATTAATAATATAATAATGTAGACAACACAGTTCCCATTACCCTTGAATATTGGGGATATGGTTATGGACTCATGCTTTACATAGACAGAGGCACTTTAATCAATCTCACTCAGACTGCCTTGTATCTCTAACAGAATTGTATTTAGTTAGTTTAGGTCACTCTGGAGCTGTTTGTTTGAAGAAACAATCAACCTTATGGGGGATTTAACATGTAGGCTGTTAGACTTGAAGATGTAAAGTACTACATTTCTTCCACTGCTAGGCAAGTCAGAGAAGCTGGGGAATCCATTTAGAGATCTTAGAGCACCATGGCTAGTTTTAAACCCTATTGTCATGTTGTCTCGAAGTGAGCAGTTCTAGTTTATTCTGAGCACACAGGTAACTTTATCTCAGGTTTTAACAGATTCAAGTGACAGTATATAGAACTTTTACAAATAAATCAGACAGTTTTCAATACTTGTACACTGCAAACTAAGTATAACATTCGATGGTTAAACTTGTGAGTATCTCTATTTGTTGTCTATATTCATCATCCTCATGTAGAATACCATTTTTCATTATTTTAAAACCCACCCTGGCTGCTGCCATGGGCCCTCATACAACATAACGGTTGAACGGGGTTTCTGGGACCTCTCTACAGGTGATCCTCATCTAAATGGTGCAGATCTGTACAAATGTGGGAGTCGCTATTGTGGAGCGGCTAGACACCGCGGATCGGAAAGTTGTGGGTGTGCTTCCTGGCAGGGCCGGACTTTTTTCAAAAATGACCTTGGCTCCCAGGTCAACCCAGCTTTGAGTGGGTACTGGGTGCAGTCCCGGGAAGTAAAGGCGGCTGGTGTGATGCTGACCCTATCACCCATCTTGTGCCGATTGGTCTATAAAATATAGGTCTAGCCCTATATGCCCTATAGCCTAAATGCATGGAAAAGGGTCCTTTACTTTTTACTGTACAAATGTGGGACTAGCAGTGTGTTTGAAATCATGCAAGAAGGAGGGGGGGGGGGGGGGGGGGGTAAAACCTAATGACTACTATTCAATGTCTTTGTCTTTTCCCTCCAGCACTCAGTTCACGCCTTGTTGACAGAATCTTCTCAGGGGCAGTAACTAGGTAAGATACATTTTTGTTCCTTCACATGAAGACTCTAGTGTTTATTAAGTGTTTGAAATGAATATCTTGTGGGTAGGAGAGAAGTTTATTTTTGTTGCAATAACCTAATTTCTTTTTCTTTACAATCACTGACTGTTAACTTTGACAGAAAGTTCTGCTTGTTCTTCCACTTCTGGGCTCTAATCTTGTTCCAGAAATTGATTGTTGCATGCACTTCCATTTGACAGATTTGACTTATTGGTAAACAGTCTGTTGCTTTCCTGCCTTTCAGGCAGATGCACTCCGACTTCAAAGGAAACTCCTAATTAGTCGACTGCTTATTGGGGAGGCAGTGGGTCTGTTCTTGTTTTCCCCATAATGGAGCCCCAGAAGTCCCAGAATCCATTTAGGAAAGGCTCTAATATAATTAACATTCTGTCCTATCACACACAGCCTCACCAGTAGACCATGCCCAAATGGTGACTGCCCTAAACCCAGGACCTGAAAGGTCATACCCATGTTACTCTTGTCCACCTTTCATGCCAGTGGATAATGAGCTCACTCAACCATATCAGATGTGTAGTAGTACATGCAAACATTCACCTCTGGCCTTGGTGCATCAGAATTCCATGCTACACGCAAGCATCCATCAGAATCCCATGCTACATGCAAGCATCCATCAGAATCCCATGCTACATGCAAGCATCCATCAGAATCCCATGCTACATGCAAGCATCCATCAGAATCCCATGCTACATGCAAGCATCCATCAGAATTCCATGCTACATGCAAGCATCCATCAGTATCCCATGCTACATGCAAGCATCCATCAGTATCCCATGCTACATGCAAGCATCCATCAGTATCCCATGCTACATGCAAGCATCCATCAGTATCCCATGCTACATGCAAGCATCCATCAGTATCCCATGCTACATGCAAGCATCCATCAGAATTCCATGCTAAATGCAAGCATCCATCAGAATCCCATGCTACATGCAAGCATCCATCAGAATCCCATGCTACATGCAAGCATCAATCAGAATCCCATGCTACATGCAAGCATCCATCAGAATCCCATGCTACATGCAAGCATCCATCAGTATCCCATGCTACATGCAAGCATCCATCAGAATCCCATGCTACATGCAAGCATCCAACAGAATCCCATGCTACATGCAAGCATCCAACAGAATCCCATGCTACATGCAAGCATCCATCAGTATCCCATGCTACATGCAAGCATCCATCAGAATTCCATGCTACATGCAAGCATCCATCAGAATCCCATGCTACATGCAAGCATCCATCAGAATCCCATGCTACATGCAAGCATCCAACAGAATTCCATGCTACATGCAAGCATCTATCAGTATCCCATGCTACATGCAAGCATCCATCAGAATCCCATGCTACATGCAAGCATCCATCAGAATCCCATGCTACATGCAAGCATCCATCAGAATCCCATGCTACATGCAAGCACCCATCAGAATCCTATGCTACATGCAAGCATCCATCAGAATCCCATGCTACATGCAAGCATCCATCAGAATCCCATGCTACATGCAAGCATCTATCAGTATCCCATGCTACATGCAAGCATCCATCAGAATCCCATACTACATGCAAGCATCCATGAGAATCCCATGCTACATGCAAGCTTCATCTGTGTTGAAAACACCAGAAAAGGCACTATTGAACCGACAAAGAGAGAAGAATGGATTGCTCTCAGAAATGTTTGATTTTTTAAGAATGCTGCTTGACTTTTATTAATAATTTTGTTGTGTCCAGGGGACCAGAGTTTCACGAAGGAAAAATGAGTTACAAGGAATTTGTGTGGTTCTTGTTAGCAGAAGAAGACAAAAGGCATCCAACGAGGTACGTTGATAGGATAATCTTGTACTCTCCCTCTGCTGCTTAATATGTTAGCAAATATAATCATCAGCAATTTCAGTGAAGTAAATTGGTAATGTCCATTGATAAAATACAATTTCTGTATGAAAGTTAGTGTTTGGAAGGCTAATTGTGAGACGGGTCTGAGTGCTCCATTTGTGATACTTTGAAAATAAAGTTTTTGTTCAGCCAAGATCCTCTAGGTTTTGATTGAGCGTACATTCTGTTTACATCAGTAATGTCTGTCAGGCTATGGTTTTCTAGTAGTTGAAAATGTATCTGGAAGTGTTCATAAACGAGAACAACTTGTAGGCAAGCTAGGAAATGTCAATCATCAGTCAGTCTGAATTTATTTAGTGAAAGCAGCAGTCATTTTCAAGTTGTTCTGGGATGGAACTGGAGTTTGCTCTGCTTTTCCTATGCTGGTAACTTGCAAGAAATGTTTGTTGTTAATTAATTAATTGTATGGTAATGTCATCAATTTCCTCAGCAGTTCTTATCTGTAACTTGTGGAACAGATGGTGTAAGTTTCTGATGTTCTATGTGGAGAGACCAGACATTTCTGTGTCCTGTATCTTCTTGTCTGATGTCAGTCACACTCAGTATTTTTAAATGTATTGTCTAGAATATATGGTGACCTGTAACATTCTTTTGTGTTCTTGATGACTGGATCTACACACCTCAGTATGAATGTGTGAAAGGCAATGAATGTGTGGATCGAATGGCAAGTAAATCACTAATACAAGGGAGAAGAAGCAGGAACACAGCTAATATCAACATTTATTGCATTTGAAGATATCATATTCAACTTCATAAAGCCACAGTCATCAGAATTCCCAGGGTGTAGAGATGTTGTTTGCAATAACATAACATACAATAAATATCCTGAATCAACGGTCTATCAGATAAGTGGAATCTGACTCTCATGGGATGATGATATGTTAGGGAGTGTATCTCCACTCTCTGGCTTCCATCTTCAGTGCATGATCTCATAATTTCTTTCTATAGATAAGTCCACATGTCTTGTTTACTGTTAACTGTTCTTAACTAACATTGTCGGGGTGGGCTACTGTTCTCCTTCCAGCATCGAGTACTGGTTCCGCTGTATGGATTTGGATGGAGATGGTGTCATATCCATGTATGAAATGGAGTACTTTCATGAAGAGCAGATGAATAAGATGGAGACCTTGGGCATTGAAAGGCTTCCGTTTGAAGACACAGTGTGTCAGGTATGTTTTGTATTTGCATAGTTACTTGAAGACACCAGTCTGTCCGTTTTGTGTTGTATGTGTGTAGTTTCTTGGAGATGTCATTGGGTGGTGGTTGTTTCTTTCTGACATACTTGATTGCTCACTTACAGCGGTCTTTCGTTATGTGTTCCTTGTACACACATGCTACATGACTGATCTATCACATATGTGTAGCATTATTAAATGGCATGATATTTTTACATAGCATAGTTTGCTACTTGTTCCACCGTGACAATATAGGCCAGTATTGTACTGTGCAAATCTTCAATGACTTGTACATTTACAGGCTGGTTGTTTTGTTGACGCTGACTTTATCATGTCAGTTAATCAGCAAAAAGATGCTCCACATTTTAGGCTGGGGGTCAAAAGCGTATAAAACCATAGTAGAATAAAAAGTTTAGTGCTCCATTTTGTGCAAATTATTACTCTTTATTTAACACCTGTGAAATGAGATGCCAGAGAAAAGCCACCAACTCAGTCCTCTGAAATAAAGTTAGTAATGATATGATGAGACAGACAGGAAAAACACCATGCTAAAATCTCCTTCAGAAACAGAATATCGAATGGTTTGGTCATCTAGCAAGAATACAGCCAGAACAACTACCAGTGCTGGAGCTACACATGAACAGATCTGAAGTGAAATCAAGAGGTCACCCTAGGAGAAGATGAAGATGGACTGATGACATTAAACAGCTTTTACATCAACACAGAATGACAGTAGCCATTACTGCTCATCAAGCAATGGATCACAAATTGTTCTCTTTATGTGTTCCTACCTGGGGCTCCATTTAAAAAGTGAAAAGGGGGGGGGGGGGGGCGGGGGATAGACAAACTTCATCTTTAACAGGGATGTCAGACAAGGTGGCTAATTTCAGATTTGCTGAAACCTTGAATCGAAAGCTGCTACATCATCAATCACAACATGCCAACCGCCTTTTTGAGGTTTGATGCTGAAATAAAGCTTTATATGCTTCACAAAATAGACTTAATTTCTTCTTTGTAATATATATATATATATAAGTGTGACATATTTAAGTAAAGGTATGAATACTGACATGAAGAATGAATTAGTGGTTTGGCTTGCTAGTGGGGCCATGGTAGGTGTCAGACAAACATCCGACCAGGCTGATGCTCCCAGTGCTGCCAAGGAGACACTACTGGTAGGGGATTCAGAAGATGACGATGAACAGGCAGCATTAGAAAAGACTACCAGAACTTCACGTCAAAAGATGTATTGCCAGACATGAACACTATACAGGTAGCCAAGGAAGAATAGTAAACCAATACAGGATGGGTTTGGTCAGTCGCCACACTCTGAAAGATGTACTGAAGATGTTATCCAAGTGTTTATGCTCTTTTCCAGTGTGCGGTGAAGGTAATTGGTTGATTAAATAACTAACTTGTAGATATTTCTGTTTGGGGGTGTTAAGGGTAAAAGAGTATTGAAGGTAAGGGAGTATTTAAGGTAAGGGAGTGTTAAGGGTAAGGAAGTTAATGATCAAAATTTAACTTTTCAGATGATGGACATGGTGGGTCCAAAACAGGAAGGGAAGATAACTCTCAGCGATCTAAAAGCTTGCAAAATGACAAATATTTTCTTTGACACTTTCTTTAACCTTGACAAATTCCTGGATCATGAACAGCGAGATCCCTTTGCTAATGCTAGGGTAAGTCTGTATGTGTCTTAAGCACATAGGTCACATACCAGCAGAGGGCTGTCATTGGTCCTGCATACATGTGAAGTTTAGTGTTGTGAACAAACATTTTCTCTGTTAAGTGAAAAATATATATATCTTAGTTTACTGTAATTGTTTGTGTAAAAATGTATCCATCTTGTTCTCTGTTAGACTGTGCTGTAGCCAGAATGCTTTTAATATTTGTACAGACAAATGTATAATAATGTGTGATTGGCTGTGCTGTGTTGAGTGTGTTGTTCATTATGTTTGTCAATTCTGTTGTCATTCTTCTTTTTTTTTTTTTTTAAAGTTTCTTGCAAAACTTAAGTAATTATACCACACTGGCCTGCGTCTCAGTAGCTGTTTCTTCTGCATGGTAGAAATAATAGTCATGAAAAGAAATTTGATTATGTCAACAGGTTTTCTTTAAAACAAGTGCAGACTTTTATTTTTCCATGCCTTGGTGTCTAATAGCTAGAGTTTTGATGAAAAAAATTTAAAAATTAGGTAAAATACCCTGTATTATTTGAGATCTGTCAGGCATGTGTATGCGGATGCGAGAGAGAGAGAGAGACAGAGAAAGAAAATGAATGAATGGGTACCACCATTTTTTAAATAAATAATTATATTAAGGACTCATTACAAGCATCAGGTTAAAATAATAAGAACAATGTTTGTATGTATCATGAACAACAGGCAGCCATCAGAACAGCTGGTGAAACATCAGACTGGTTTGAGGTGCAAAAAGGGGTGAGGCAGGGGTGCATTCTCTCACCATACCTATTCAATATTTATGCAGAAAATATAATGAGAAATGTCAAAAATGACCAGACTTGTGACAGTTATGATCCGCTCAAAATTGGTGGCAACCCTATTCCAGAACTCCGCTACACAGATGACACAGTCCTCCTTTCATACAGTGTAAAGGGAATAGAAAATTTAATAGTGTCTGTCCAAAAGCACAGTAAAGATCAAAATCTGTTCTTGAATTTAAAGAAAACGAAAATGATGTCCACAGATAAAACTGGCTGTCCCCCCAAAATAACAATAAATGATGAAGAATTTGAAAATGTCACAAACTTTGAATATCTAATCTCTATAATAAATGGAGACTGTTCAATAGAAATTAAAAGGAGGATGGCCATAGCAATGCAAAGATTGAACAGCCTTAAAAGTTTATGGTTAAGCACTAGCAAGGAGATCAAAATTAGAATTTTGAGAGCATGCATCTTCCCTGTGGCTACATACTGATGTGAGTCGTGGACTATCTCTCAGTCCTTAAGAAAGAGAATATGGGCTTTTGATCTGAAATGCTATAGAAAGATTCTCAGAATATCTTGGACAAAGAAGAGGAGAAATACTGACATCTTAAAAGATCTGAACATCAAGGTAGTTTGGCCAATAAACAGCATCCTTTCTCAAAAGCTGAAATATTTTGGTCATATCAAGCGCCACGACCGATTGGAAATAAATATAGCAGAAGGCATGGTACCAGGAAGAAGGAGCAGGGGCCGACCGACACGAAGATGGGCACATAATATAGTGATTCCTTGAGTGTGAATGTGCTTGAGGCAGTAGAACTGGCGAGAGACAGAGTTTTTTCAGGCAGACTGTTATGAGAGCGACGTTCAGCAAAGGACCTGCTACATGATGATGATGTATGTATGTATATATATATATATGTATGTATGTATGTATGTATGTATGTATGTATGTATGTATGTATGTATGTATGTATGTATGTATGTATGTATGTATGTATGTATGTATGTATGTATGTATGTATGTATGTACATACGTACGTATATATGTATGTATGTATGCATATAGATATAATTTCATTAAAATCTGTTTTCTTTTTTAAGTTTAATATATTTTTAAAAATTGTCTTTGCCCCTCAAAACCAGGATCCAAATTCAGAACCAACAGAAACCAGTGACTGGAATAGATATGCAGAAATAGAATATGACAATCTGGTAGCTGATGAAGGAAATGCAGATATGGATGATGGGTAAGATAAGTCATCAGTTTGTCCAAATCGGAATTTTCCATCCTAGAGCATTCTTCCTCTTCTTTTTCTTCTTCTTCTTCTTCTTAGTATTCACCGGTTGTAAACTCCGGCAGAAAATACTGGTTGTTCGTCCACTTCTGAACTTTATTCTTATTCCACAACTTTCTGGTTGTTCGTCCACTTCTGAACTTTGTTCTTATTCCAGAACTTTCTGGTTGTTCGTCCACTTATGAAATGTATTCTTATTCCAGAACTTTCTGGTTGTTCCTCTACTTATGAAATGTATTCTTATTCCAGTACTTTCTGGTTGTTCATCCACTTATGAAATGTATTCTTATTCCAGAACTTTCTGGTTGTTCGTCCACTTATCTTCTTCTTCTTCTTCGCGTTCACCAGCTGTAAACTCTGGCGGAAGGTTCTGGTTGCTCGTCCACTACTGAACTGCAGTCCTGCTCCAGAACCTGAGTGTTGCGTGTGCATCAGTTTTACAGATCTCATTCTCTTGAATACAGACTGTTGGTTCCTTGCCTCTCCAGCAGATGCACTCCGACTTCAAAGGAAGCTCCCCAATTAGTCGACTCTTACGACATGCTTTTGGGGAGGCAGTGGGTCTATTCTTGTTTTCCCCACAATGGGGCCCCGGAACCCACACGGGGGTGTCCACTTATGAAATGTATTCTTATTCCAGAACTAAAGTTTTGACTGCACATCCCTTTTACCATCTTATTTATTTCTATGCAGACTGTTGCTTCCTTGCCCGTCAAGCAGATGCATTGCAACTGTGAGGGAAACATTCCTAATTAGTCCCTTTGTATGGCATGCTTGTTGGAGACAGTGGGTGCTTTCTTAGGACTCCAGATTTAATCCTTACATTCTTTTATCTGAGGAGATACGGGGGCAAGATGGCAGTGGTCATTGTTGTGTTTTCCAACTGCCACTAATTATAATAAAGAGAAGGAAATTCATGCATTGTTTATAGTTAGTAGGATGCAAAAGTAGCAAAGAAAGTCCATTTTTGTTTTTAAGATTTTCGCCAGTGCTATGGAGTTTTGTGCATCTGAGCTGGAACTTGGAAATGTGTTCATCAGTGTGCGGCGGATTTGACGTATTTGCTGTCATAATGGTGGGTGTTACCGATCGCCACACACTGAGGGATATACTGAAGATGGGATCTGAGCGCTTATGGACTCGTCTGATGTGCAATGAGGATAGTCTGTCGATGAATTAACTTAATAATTCTTTCATCTGAAACTTATATAATTGTGCCCTTTCACCTGCGTTGACTTATGTATGTACCCAGTCTAGTACACATGCACACAGGTGTCACAGACAGAAATGATTTCTTTCTTTCTGGCAGTGACCTTGGTCCAGCTGTCTTGTTATATATCAGTTCACCACATAGTGTGGTCCAACTGTCTTGTTATATATCAGTTCACCACATAGTGTGGTCCAGCTGTCTTGTTATATATCAGTTCACCACATAGTGTGCTCCAGCTGTCTTGTTATATATCAGTTCACCACATAGTGTGGTCCAACTGTCTTGTTATACATCAGTTCACCACATAGTGTGGTCCAGCTGTCTTGTTATATATCAGTTCACCACATAGTGTGTGTGGTCCAGCTGTCTTGTTATATATCAGTTCACCACATAGTGTGTGTGGTCCAGCTGTCTTGTTATATATCAGTTCACCACATAGTGTGGTCCAGCTGTCTTGTTATATATCAGTTCACCACATAGTGTGTGTGGTCCAGCTGTCTTGTTATATATCAGTTCACCACATAGTGTGGTCCAGCTGTCTTGTTATATATCAGTTCACCACATAGTGTGGTCCAGCTGTCTTGTTATATATCAGTTCACCACATAGTGTGTGTGGTCCAGCTGTCTTGTTATATATCAGTTCACCACATAGTGTGGTCCAACTGTCTTGTTATATATCAGTTCACCACATAGTGTGTGTGGTCCAGCTGTCTTGTTATATATCAGTTCACCACATAGTGTGGTCCAACTGTCTTGTTATATATCAGTTCACCACATAGTGTGGTCCAGCTGTCTTGTTATATATCAGTTCACCACATAGTGTGGTCCAACTGTCTTGTTATATATCAGTTCACCACATAGTGTGGTCCAGCTGTCTTGTTATATATCAGTTCACCACATAGTGTGGTCCAACTCTCTTGTTATATATCAGTTCACCACATAGTGTGGTCCAGCTGTCTTGTTATATATCAGTTCACCACATAGTGTGTGTGGTCCAGCTGTCTTGTTATATATCAGTTCACCACATAGTGTGGTCCAGCTGTCTTGTTATATATCAGTTCACCACATAGTGTGTGTGGTCCAGCTGTCTTGTTATATATCAGTTCACCACATAGTGTGGTCCAACTGTCTTGTTATATATCAGTTCACCACATAGTGTGTGTGGTCCAGCTGTCTTGTTATATATCAGTTCACCACATAGTGTGCTCCAGCTGTCTTGTTATATATCAGTTCACCACATAGTGTGCTCCAGCTGTCTTGTTATATATCAGTTCACCACATAGTGTGGTCCAGCTGTCTTGTTATATATCAGTTCACCACATAGTGTGGTCCAGCTGTCTTGTTATATATCAGTTCACCACATGGTGTGGTCCAGCTGTCTTGTTATATATCAGTTCACCACATAGTGTGGTCCAGCTGTCTTGTTATATATCAGTTCACCACATAGTGTGGTCCAACTGTCTTGTTATATATCAGTTCACCTTATAGTGTGGTCCAGCTGTCTTGTTATATATCAGTTCACCACATAGTGTGGTCCAGCTGTCTTGTTATATATCAGTTCACCACATAGTGTGGTCCAACTGTCTTGTTATATATCAGTTCACCACATAGTGTGGTCCAGCTGTCTTGTTATATATCAGTTCACCACATAGTGTGTGTGGTCCAGCTGTCTTGTTATATATCAGTTCACCACATAGTGTGGTCCAGCTGTCTTGTTATATATCAGTTCACCACATAGTGTGTGTGGTCCAGCTGTCTTGTTATATATCAGTTCACCACATAGTGTGTGTGGTCCAGCTGTCTTGTTATATATCAGTTCACCACATAGTGTGGTCCAGCTGTCTTGTTATATATCAGTTCACCACATAGTGTGGTCCAACTGTCTTGTTATATATCAGTTCACCACATAGTGTGTGTGGTCCAGCTGTCTTGTTATATATCAGTTCACCACATAGTGTGGTCCAACTGTCTTGTTATATATCAGTTCACCACATAGTGTGTGTGGTCCAGCTGTCTTGTTATATATCAGTTCACCACATAGTGTGGTGGTCCAGCTGTCTTGTTATATATCAGTTCACCACATAGTGTGGTCCAACTGTCTTGTTATATATCAGTTCACCACATAGTGTGGTCCAGCTGTCTTGTTATATATCAGTTCACCACATAGTGTGGTCCAGCTGTCTTGTTATATATCAGTTCACCACATAGTGTGGTCCAGCTGTCTTGTTATATATCAGTTCACCACATAGTGTGGTCCAGCTGTCTTGTTATGTATCAGTTCACCACATAGTGTGGTCCAACTCTCTTGTTATATATCAGTTCACCACATAGTGTGGTCCAGCTGTCTTGTTATATATCAGTTCACCACATAGTGTGGTCCAACTGTCTTGTTATATATCAGTTCACCACATAGTGTGGTCCAGCTGTCTTGTTATATATCAGTTCACCACATAGTGTGGTCCAGCTGTCTTGTTATATATCAGTTCACCACATAGTGTGTGTGGTCCAGCTGTCTTGTTATATATCAGTTCACCACATAGTGTGGTCTAGCTGTCTTGTTATATATCAGTTCACCACATAGTGTGTGTGGTCCAGCTGTCTTGTTATATATCAGTTCACCACATAGTGTGTGTGGTCCAGCTGTGTTGTTATATATCAGTTCACCACATAGTGTGGTCCAGCTGTCTTGTTATATATCAGTTCACCACATAGTGTGTGTGGTTCAGCTGTCTTGTTATATATCAGTTCACCACATAGTGTGGTCCAACTGTCTTGTTATATATCAGTTCACCACATAGTGTGTGTGGTCCAGCTGTCTTGTTATATATCAGTTCACGACATAGTGTGGTCCAGCTGTCTTGTTATATATCAGTTCACCACATAGTGTGTGTGGTCCAGCTGTCTTGTTATATATCAGTTCACCACATAGTGTGGTCCAGCTGTCTTGTTATATATCAGTTCACCACATAGTGTGGTCCAGCTGTCTTGTTATATATCAGTTCACCACATAGTGTGGTCCAGCTGTCTTGTTATATATCAGTTCACCACATAGTGTGGTCCAGCTGTCTTGTTATATATCAGTTCACCACATAGTGTGGTCCAGGTGTCTTGTTATATATCAGTTCACCACATAGTGTGGTCCAGCTGTCTTGTTATATATCAGTTCACCACATAGTGTGGTCCAGCTGTCTTGTTATATATCAGTTCACCACATAGTGTGGTCCAACTGTCTTGTTATATATCAGTTCACCACATAGTGTGGTCCAGCTGTCTTGTTATATATCAGTTCACCACATAGTGTGGTCCAACTCTCTTGTTATATATCAGTTCACCACATAGTGTGGTCCAGCTGTCTTGTTATATATCAGTTCACCACATAGTGTGTGTGGTCCAGCTGTCTTGTTATATATCAGTTCACCACATAGTGTGGTCCAGCTGTCTTGTTATATATCAGTTCACCACATAGTGTGTGTGGTCCAGCTGTCTTGTTATATATCAGTTCACCACATAGTGTGGTCCAACTGTCTTGTTATATATCAGTTCACCACATAGTGTGTGTGGTCCAGCTGTCTTGTTATATATCAGTTCACCAAATAGTGTGCTCCAGCTGTCTTGTTATATATCAGTTCACCACATAGTGTGGTCCAGCTGTCTTGTTATATATCAGTTCACCACATAGTGTGGTCCAGCTGTCTTGTTATATATCAGTTCACCACATGGTGTGGTCCAGCTGTCTTGTTATATATCAGTTCACCACATAGTGTGCTCCAGCTGTCTTGTTATATATCAGTTCACCACATAGTGTGGTCCAACTCTCTTGTTATATATCAGTTCACCACATAGTGTGGTCCAGCTGTCTTGTTATATATCAGTTCACCACATAGTGTGTGTGGTCCAGCTGTCTTGTTATATATCAGTTCACCACATAGTGTGGTCCAGCTGTCTTGTTATATATCAGTTCACCACATAGTGTGTGTGGTCCAGCTGTCTTGTTATATATCAGTTCACCACATAGTGTGGTCCAACTGTCTTGTTATATATCAGTTCACCACATAGTGTGTGTGGTCCAGCTGTCTTGTTATATATCAGTTCACCACATAGTGTGCTCCAGCTGTCTTGTTATATATCAGTTCACCACATAGTGTGCTCCAGCTGTCTTGTTATATATCAGTTCACCACATAGTGTGGTCCAACTGTCTTGTTATATATCAGTTCACCACATAGTGTGGTCCAACTGTCTTGTTATATATCAGTTCACCACATAGTGTGTGTGGTCCAGCTGTCTTGTTATATATCAGTTCACCACATAGTGTGGTCCAACTGTCTTGTTATATATCAGTTCACCACATAGTGTGTGTGGTCCAGCTGTCTTGTTATATATCAGTTCACCACATAGTGTGGTCCAGCTGTCTTGTTATATATCAGTTCACCACATAGTGTGGTCCAACTGTCTTGTTATATATCAGTTCACCACATAGTGTGGTCCAGCTGTCTTGTTATATATCAGTGCACCACATAGTGTGGTCCAGCTGTCTTGTTATATATCAGTTCACCACATAGTGTGGTCCAGCTGTCTTGTTATATATCAGTTCACCACATAGTGTGGTCCAGCTGTCTTGTTATGTATCAGTTCACCACATAGTGTGGTCCAACTCTCTTGTTATATATCAGTTCACCACATAGTGTGGTCCAGCTGTCTTGTTATATATCAGTTCACCACATAGTGTGGTCCAACTGTCTTGTTATATATCAGTTCACCACATAGTGTGGTCCAGCTGTCTTGTTATATATCAGTTCACCACATAGTGTGGTCCAGCTGTCTTGTTATATATCAGTTCACCACATAGTGTGTGTGGTCCAGCTGTCTTGTTATATATCAGTTCACCACATAGTGTGGTCCAGCTGTCTTGTTATATATCAGTTCACCACATAGTGTGTGTGGTCCAGCTGTCTTGTTATATATCAGTTCACCACATAGTGTGTGTGGTCCAGCTGTGTTGTTATATATCAGTTCACCACATAGTGTGGTCCAGCTGTCTTGTTATATATCAGTTCACCACATAGTGTCTTGTTATATATCAGTTCACCACATAGTGTGGTCCAGCTGTCTTGTTATATATCAGTTCACCACATAGTGTGTGTGGTCCAGCTGTCTTGTTATATATCAGTTCACCACATATAGTGTGGTCCAGCTGTCTTGTTATATATCAGTTCACCACATAGTGTGTGTGGTCCAGCTGTCTTGTTATATATCAGTTCACCACATAGTGTGTGGTCCAGCTGTCTTGTTATATATCAGTTCACCACATAGTGTGGTCCAGCTGTCTTGTTATATATCAGTTCACCACATAGTGTGGTCCAGCTGTCTTGTTATATATCAGTTCACCACATAGTGTGGTCCAGCTGTCTTGTTATATATCAGTTCACCACATAGTGTGGTCCAGCTGTCTTGTTATATATCAGTTCACCACATAGTGTGGTCCAGCTGTCTTGTTATATATCAGTTCACCACATAGTGTGGTCCAGCTGTCTTGTTATATATCAGTTCACCACATAGTGTGGTCCAGCTGTCTTGTTATATATCAGTTCACCACATAGTGTGGTCCAACTGTCTTGTTATATATCAGTTCACCACATAGTGTGGTCCAGCTGTCTTGTTATATATCAGTTCACCACATAGTGTGGTGGTCCAGCTGTCTTGTTATATATCAGTTCACCACATAGTGTGTGTGGTCCAGCTGTCTTGTTATATATCAGTTCACCACATAGTGTGTGTGGTCCAACTGTCTTGTTATATATCAGTTCACCACATAGTGTGTGTGGTCCAGCTGTCTTGTTATATATCAGTTCACCACATAGTGTGGTCCAGCTGTCTTGTTATATATCAGTTCACCACATAGTGTGGTCCAACTGTCTTGTTATATATCAGTTCACCACATAGTGTGGTCCAACTGTCTTGTTTATATATCAGTGTGGTCCAACTGTCTTGTTATATATCAGTTCACCACATAGTGTGTGTGGTCCAGCTGTCTTGTTATATATCAGTTCACCACATAGTGTGTGTGGTCCAGCTGTCTTGTTATATATCAGTTCACCACATAGTGTGGTCCAGCTGTCTTGTTATATATCAGTTCACCACATAGTGTGTGTGGTCCAGCTGTCTTGTTATATATCAGTTCACCACATAGTGTGGTCCAGCTGTCTTGTTATATATCAGTTCACCACATAGTGTGTGTGGTCCAGCTGTCTTGTTATATATCAGTTCACCACATAGTGGTGCAAAAACAGTCACTGCTCACTACCCAAGACCTGTGTAGAATTAAGAATATTTTGAACATTAATGTTCTGTTTCATGTCTTATGAATTGGCATCATTCTCTCATTATCTCTTTATTCTTCAGTATTGTGAGTTTCTTAGAATTATTTAATTTACAAACTTTTCCTTGAAATTTCCAGGAATTATGAGGATGATTTTGAACCGGAAGACGAGGAGGAAATGATTCGAGATGAAATGTTGAGACTAGCAGATGCAGCACCACCACCACAGAGAACGTCTGGCGCGGTGCACAGCAGTGAAGATATTTATGACTTCAGTAACACATCGAATCTAGGATATTGACTATAGGGCAGATACCAGTCCAGATTTCAGTCTCTCATACTTCATGCAGAGACTCAAATATCGTCAGCTTGGAATACAGATTTTAAAAATAGGAAATTGATGTTTATGTGATACATATGTTGAACAAAGATATTTTGCACTAAATTTAGTTGACTGTGAGAAGTTCTGTATCAGTCAGCGGAAAAAAAGACAAACTGTCAAAATAAATCACTGTTATTATCATCAACAAATGCTATGCCGATAAACATATGTAGTCATGGTTCACCTTCTTACATGGTCACCGGAGTCTGGGTCACCACAATCTCAGATGGTGTTTGCTGATATTACTGTATAGTTATGTGATATCAGTTCTAGCAGTATTTCATCACCACATCAATACTGGGCAGCCTGGTGGTCAAGTGTTCAATTCTGTCCAGGTGAGAATTATTATTATTTAAACAAATGTGGCCTACCTGATCGACCAAGGTCACAATGGAGTTTCTGAAAAGTAAAGGCAGCAGGTGTTTTATTGACCACAACACGGGACGCTGATTCATCTGTACATATGTAGGACTAGCAGCATGTACCCAGTGTGTTTGACATCATGGTAGAAGATCATTTGCCAAATGCTGAACCTGGCATCTCTACAGTTTATGTTGGGACTGAGTATTTCCACAGCTAAATAGTGAATACAGTTTTAGCTCATCATGTGTCATAGACCATGGGAGAAGAATGAAAACAGAGCCATACGCCATCCCAATTTTCCCAATATCACAAGACATGAATGTGCTGATCTTTGACAAGCTACAGCTGAAATTCTGCACACGGCTCCGGTTGACGGTTATCATCACAATAGTTCTACCACAGCATGTTTTTCTAAACCAGTATTTAATGATTTACAGAAATTTAACATGAGAGATGCAAAATATGACTAAGAAACTCAACAAGCAAAGGAGATAAAAGTGAACGTAAATGGTTTTAGTTTATTTTGACTTTTATGTAATGTTAAATTAAATTTTTTCTAAGATTATGTTATTTCTGCTTTTAAGCTACTATTTTTATTTCCTGTTATTTTATTATTTGAAAAAGACAGGTTAAAGCTTTTGCTTTTAATTCCTTGAGTCTTTATTTTATCTAGATTTCTAGTCATAATTTGCATTCTTTTCTTCTCAACAAAGTAATCTGCTTTTATGTCCATATATTGTAATCTGCTATTTTGTCATCAACTTTTGAAGTAACTGACTGACTAAAATAAACTTCACTGACAATGTAGTTTTGTTTCAGTTTTGGTCACACATGTTAGCTAACAGTTGAACATTCCCATTGGATTATACTCAGTTAAAGAACACATCTAACCTGTCACTTTAGCTGTTGTATGTTCAACATCTGAGTTAACAGTTACAAAATAAAGCAGTTGGTGGACATTATTAGACAAATCAATATGAAATTTCACTAGAATTCTTCTTCTTAAACCTGTCAAGGTTTGATATAATTAATTCTTAACAATTATTATTACTAAAATTGGCCCAGTAATTCTTAACGTAAATTATTTCTAAAATTGGCCCAGTAATTCTTAACATATATTATTACTAAAATTGGCCCAGTAATTCTTAACATATATTATTACCAAAATTGGCCCAGTAATTCTTAACATAAATTATTTCTAAAATTGGCCCAGTAATTCTTAACATATATTATTACTAAAATTGGCCCAGTAATTCTTAACATACATTATTACTAAAAGTGGCCCAGTAATTCTTAACATATATTATTACTAAAATTGGCCCAGTAATTCTTAACATATATTATTACTAAAATTGGCCCAGTAATTCTTAACATAAATTATTTCTAAAATTGGCCCAGTAATTCTTAACATATATTATTACTAAAATTGGCCCAGTAATTCTTAACATATATTATTACCAAAATTGGCCCAGTAATTCTTAACATAAATTATTTCTAAAATTGGCCTAGTAATTCTTAACATTTATTATTACTAAAATTGGCCCAGTAATTCTTAACATACATTATTACTAAAAGTGGCCCAGTAATTCTTAACATATATTATTACTAAAATTGGCCCAGTAATTCTTAACATATATTATTACTAAAATTGGCCCAGTAATTCTTAACATATATTATTACTAAAATTGGCCCAGTAATTCTTAACATACATTATTACTAAAATTGGCCCAGTAATTCTTAACATATATTATTACTAAAATTGGCCCATTAATTCTTAACATATATTATTACTAAAATTAGCCCAGAAAGGGTGAGGGTTTGCATTTTCTTCCTCCGCTTCTTCTTCTTCTCCTTACATTCACCAGCTGTAAACTCTGGGTTAAGTTCAGGTTGTTTGATCACCTCTGGACTTTAATCTTGTTCCAGAACTTGAATTTTATGTGCACATCCATTTTACAGATCTGGCTTATGTGTTTGCAGACTGTTGGTTCCTTGATTCCCAGGCAGATGCATTTTTACTGGAAGGAAACACCCCTGATTTTATGATATGCTTGTTAGGGACAGTGAGTATTCTTGTCCCCCCCCCCCCCCTTCCCCCCTTTCCTCCCAGACTGAGCCTCAGAACCCACACGAGGATCCGTTATGTAATCTCTAACTTCACTGTATGTTCCTGGTTTTAGTCTTGTCTGTATTTATTGTTGATGTTTTCTTAATTTATCTAAATATGGTAAAATATACTGTGTTTACGTCTAGTATTTCGCTTAAATGTGTGTATAATCTAGAGCATTAGTTCTCATTTTGAAGTCTGCAGAACCAATTTTAGAGGCTTTAATATAAATTTTTAAAAAATAAACAAACAAACAAACCACAGCCTTTTTAATTTTTTTTTTAAGATTCTAAAATATTCTTTTTTTTTTTTAAAAAGTTCTTAAATGTGTGTGTCTCTTACAGACCGTTGAAAATAAGAGGGCCTATGTGACTTTTATAATTGGGAGCCACTAATCTAGAGGATTACAGTTCTTGGCTCTGTGTCGTGACACCCTGCTATGTGTCCTTAGTTATGTGATGGAACGTAGTTCTCTTGGGGGCAAAAATAAACATCTTTACCTGCACAGTTTGTGGCAGCTGTACTAGGAGGCATGCAGCTCTAACTCTTCAGGCTCAACACCCACTGGCCTTAACAACATTGCTAACTAAAGACAGTTTATTTGTAACTATTTGTATATTATGGTATTAGATCTGTCTGTGGGTGGTTTACTATAAGTTTGTTGTGGCTTTTGGTGACTTACTTGCTTTAGCATACCTGCATTTCTATAACTTAACCTGTCACTCTGTGATGATGTATTTGCCTGAAAGCTCACTTGTTGATAACTGTTTGGTTGTGACTGATACAACCCTTGTAAATAACTGTTTGGTTGTGACTCACACAACCCTTGTAAATAACTGTTTGGTTGTGACTCACACAACCCTTGTAAATAACTATTCACTTGATCTGATAGCTCACTTGTCAATAACTATTTGATTGCATCTTAAAGTTGACTTGTTTGTAGCTCCACCTGTATTGTTTTAAAGTGCCTTGTTGGTGATTGACATAATAACTACAGTGACATTTTAATTTGCTTTTTCATTACTTACTTGACATTGTACTTCCTATCATATTTTAAAGGAGGTCTAATTTTGTATTTCAATCAAAGGAGAGGTAAAAGGGAAATCTCTCCTACTTAATAGAGCAAGCATGAAAAGCCCTTGGATCCACAAAGTTGTAATTAACAGGGAAAAAATGTTTCAAATGTGAACAGTCAAAATAAATAATAAATGCTTTACAAGCGACCAGGCTCAAAGAAAACTTAATACAAACAACAGGAGGAGGTGTTCAACATTTTGACCACAGTATGACAAAAGGAAAATTTTTAATGTTTTTGGAAATTGTTGAGATTAAAGGGGAAAGAGGGGGGGGGGGGGGGGGGGGGGGGGGGGGTTGAAGAAAGCAGCAAGAAATATATCTGCGCATGTTCTTGGACTATTTTAACAGATAATTATTAATACAAAAGTTGTCAAGAAAAGGATGTCAAAAGCTAGGAAGTTATTGTAGCAAAGAGGCTAGAACATTTATCTGTCAGCTGTGATCAAAGGCTGAATTCCTACCAAGAAGATTGTCTGAATTCCTGTAGGCTTCTAGGAGCCAGAAACGGGTATCAGGAAAAGAGTAGGGAAGTAAAGATGGCTGATACTTGCTACTTCACACATTAAATGACAGTTATATACACAATTATATACTTAGTACCAAAAGCTTGATACATTGGTCCTGTACTGTTTACTTCCTTGTGCCACATACAGAGTGGATTAATCCAGCTGAGGTCTGGAGAGTGTCATCCATTTTCAACTAGGACACATTGCTTCTCTGATCAGCTAGCTACTTGATGATAAATCAGACTTGATAAAGGATTTCTGCTTTCAGGCAGATAGTGCAGCAGAAGAGACAAAAGTATTCAAACCTGATGAGACTGATACACTAGTTAGTGAGTAGAGGAATTTATCTCAACAGGCAGAGTTGCCCACTGGAGCCATCAGCATATAAACTGCTGGTTAGCTCGGCTACTCTTGGCATCTGTGACTTGGGGGTTATGAGCACAGTTTTATCATGCACAGATATCAGGTTCAATTCAGCTACTGGCAATTTAGCCTCATGCTGGTTTGCTTTGATTTTGCAAGTAGTTTAAGAGTCAGTCATTAAGAAACATTAGCAAACTGCTAAGCCTAAAATTGCCTAGTAAAACGATACATGGCTAATGAACACCTGTGTTGGTTTGTGACACCCTGTCAAGAATTCTTAACTGGTGAAGGGGGTGCAGCTTTTGTGGGAATTTGCCAAATCCACTGGTGTCAGATCTTCATTCACCTATTCATTTACATGAATTGAATGGTTTTAGTTTGTGAAAATAAAGACTTACATTTTAATTGTGCTCAGATTTATTTCATTATTTTATTTTAAATCAGCTTTTTTTTAATTTAAAGATTTGTTTTCAGTTTTCTGTCTAGCTTTGCTTTTTATCTAG